TGACGCAAAGGAAAGAGAGGAGCAGATGCGTGCAGTGAATTTTTGGGTGGATTTTGAATGTGACTTATGCAACTTATGAATAACCTTATTATAAGCCGACCTCCCACTACAGACATGGAAAATTGTCCAAATTTCCTCGGCTTGTACGCAGTAACATACTGTAAATCACACAAAAATCCATTATGTGTCGGCTTCTCAGTCATCCATACAAATCCATCTCCTCCATTGGCTCCACGTCAAAAGCGTCTGACATGTAAGAAGCTTTTCTGAGTGTACACTAGTTCGTAAAGTCTAGTTACTAAAATCCCTGAACTGCGACTTCGTCAAGAATCAAACGCTTGTGAACTGATCGCTACAATGGCGACATGATTACGCCCCGACGTAAACGACATCGAAATCGGACTGCAAGACATGACCATTGTACAGCATAATCGACCCAGCAAAGTTGGAGGTGTGGCTCTGTATTTCTGTAATGACTTCCAATGTGCCGCCATAGAAAATCCGGTCAAAACAGAACAGAATTCCGTCTAGAATTAAAGGGCGACGACGCCTGCTCGGTGGCGGTCGTCTACCGCCCTCCCTCCTCCACACCCGAGATGGAATCCGCACTAAGGCGGCCGATAAACATAGAATCCAGTCACATTCTTATTACTGGCGATTTCCAAACCACCGCTCTGGAATACCAAGCTGCTTCTAGAGAGCAGTTCAAGGTGGATCTACAAAAAGTTCCCTCCAGCTTCCCGCCGAAGGCCACCTCAGAACCCTTACCAGATACACAGAAGAAGACAGATAGTCTACACTGGATCAGATATTCACCAACGAAGAACTGATGATCTAGGACAGGGTTCAACAAACTACGGCCGGTGGGGTTGGGTCCGTCCCGCGATCTCAGCTCATCCGGCCCGTCAACTGTGGCTGAATTTGGGTAGCCAAATAGTACACATGTCCACCCTAGCTCTGTGTTTACGGCACCAAGGCCATAAAATGTCACCACAGCAACTCAACTCTGCTTGGCCGCAATATATCGATTAGCAGGTTCACCAGATTGTGCGATACTCGAAGTATGGCACATTCACCGGGACCGCTCACACCACTGTCGCACATCGTGCGGCAAGATCAATAGCTGAACGCCAGCTTAACACCATTCATCTGCCTGCAAATTAGTCTGCATTTGACCCACACAGTCGTCTCTCTGTCACGCTCACAGCGCGGTGCGCCGTAGATTTCTTGGGGATGTATTTGTCACTGATTCAAGCAACATATAAGCAAGCTTACTCACGGCGTAGTAACCTGTACGAACACCGCTTGTGGGGGTGGGTATGTATGTCACAGCGTCTTGGCAGCTTCTTCGAACCCACGGTGTTCACCAGAAGTGTAAGCTCGTATAGATACAGGGAGAACGCTACAGGCGTCACAAAGCAGGTCATATATTTGCTAACTGTTGAAACAGCGAAGGGTGCAGAGTGCCCGTGATAAACGAGTTTGCCGGAAGCGTTGGATTTAGGCGGTTTCTGTCTGTCTGTGCTCACCTCTGGCTGTCACTGGCAGAACAGCAATCAAAAACTACTGCCGTAAGCTTTCTATTTAGGCCGGCCCCATGCACATATTTTGCATCGCACCTTATGTGATATATTAATAAAATTACCTATAACCTGTAGGACAAATTTAACGTGCACTTCAGATGAGGCGTAGCTTTATCAGACATCCTTAATTCTTTGCTTTGCTTGTGTTCCGGTAGGATGTTAACCAGGTTTCCAATTAAACGCCTTTTTCAATACCAACTCCGGTATACCGCACCGCTCGCTATGGCTATTAGAAAGTTAATAATGGACACTGAGTGTTGCGTCTTAAACAAAGAATAGGGAGTAAAATAATTTTGCGGAAACCGTGGACCGGGAAATCAGTTGCGTAATACGCGGAGAAAGTGTTGCCGTTTTGGAAGAGTGCAAGTTTCGGAGTCCGTACGAAACAAAACACATATAAACCTGTTCAAAGTTTTCGGGAAAGCCACGGTCGGAGAAATATGAGCCCATGAAAAGTGGTTTAGAAACAAGGAATTCCCCACAAGGGAATTTTCTCTGAAGGTGCATCTGACAAAAGAGCTTTTACAAAATAGTGCGAAATATGTCAGGAGGAAAAGCGTTTACTGATGGTGGCTCACTAAAAGAGTGTATCATGGAAGGTGCGAATGATTTGTCCTGAGAAAGCCGTCTTGTTTACAACCATCAGCTTTTCGGCGGGTCCAATTGTGCTAAGTACAACAGAACTTGGACAGAACGTAATGTTGCAAATACATGAGAAAGCCACAAACGTTTTGTGACCATCTCCGGCACTGGATGAGTATAGGGATTTGTTGAGTACGTCACAACTTCTCGTGTTCATTTGCGGTGCGATATCGGTTTCCGAGAGTAAGAGTTGGGATCGGTCCGTTGCACGCATGAAACTACAAATCGAAACGAAGTTTTCTTGTAAATGCACATAATTTCGCAAGACATAAAGTTGCCTCCAGCTTCCCGCCTTATGGCCACCTCAGCACTCCCACCAGATGCAGAGAAGCAGATAGACCGTGGAATCGGTTTCGACGTGTTACAATTGGTGCAGAGAGAAACATGGTTGAAGTGAGAAAGTTTGGTAGTGCGGAGCAGAACTCAATCAAAGGATTTGTAATTTACGGTTGCTCTGTTCATACACTGCATCCTGCATCAACACGCACCCTGTGAGAAAATCTTGGGTATTTCTTGTTTGATGAAGCCAGTGCTGTTGCATTCATTCGGGGACATGCTCCCAATCGCAGTTAGTTTCCGCCGTTTCTGTAGAATATTTGTTCGGAGTTCTCGGATTTGCCTTCACATCACATATAAGTGCAGTGGCTCAGCCGAGGTACGGTACTCTTTCGTTTCACGAGCCCCGAAACGAAATAGCTGCCTTCCTCACTGGCAAACTAGAGCTGACACACAGATTTCATATTCTACCTGGTTATCTAAATTAGCATTTATGCTTGACATCACATCCCATATGAATGAAATGAGTCTGAAACTGCAAGGAAAGGAGAATCTCACCTATGATTACTACAGATGCTTCAACGGATTTCGGAGAAAGCTGTCATTGTTTGAAACAAAACTGGAAGGAGAAACGTTTGTTCATTTTCACAATTGTAAAGAATTTAAAGCTGAGGTCAGTGCAGACGTCCGTCTTGATTTTATGAGAACATTTATTCGTGACCTGAGTATACACTCCATAGAGGGATTTTCAGAAATTGACAGGTGAGGGTAAAACTCTTCTGCTTCCGAATCCGATTGCAACATTGATGACGTCCCAATTGAGCCAATAGATTTGCAGACAAGTGAGCTTTAGAAACGGAGGCATATGGAAGGAAAACTTGTTGGATTTCGCTCTGCTCTTCAAACGTTGTACCTCCGGAACTAAAGAACAAATTACCACTGAAAGCAAACAACTCCAAAATGAAGCTTGTGAAGTCAAGCCGGAGAATTAGACTAGCTGATGAACATTTGAAAGTAATTCTATTAATTAAGCACAGGAAATCTAAAGAAAGATGCTGATAATTGAAGAGCCAAACACTTGCTTCACAAATATTACCAATCCTTTCCCCGCCTAATTTGTGCAACCCAGATGTAACTAATCTTTTGCGTACGCCACTGCTATAAATAATTTCTCAGTTAATAAATATGTTGTTTTTTATAAATTGTGCGCCGTTCACCTATGTTTAACACGGAATGCTGAGATTAGTTGTTTCATGTAAGTTTCAGAATTGCTTTCTGCCATGCGAGATCTGCACTGAAATGTAATGTGGCCCGCGGTTGTACTTTCGTTGGCTATCCGGCTCTCCACTGACCAATGATTCGGTAAGTGATCGTCGACATCCCATTGGGCCGTGACGATCACGTAGTCTGACTGTTCGAATACATCACTTTTGCGGTTGTGGCAAGATCCACGATGCGAAGAACAGTGCGTTCACAGGCAAACGCGAGCTAAATTGATATGATCAACAGCGTATTCCGAATGTGAGGTCACGGCAAATGGAAATCTGCATAGATCATCTTGCTCAATAAGTAGGCGCAGGAAGTTTGATTCTTCTGAATTTCGACCGCATATGCCGCCTCCAACAACCTGACTGGTCTTCACTCTAAACACGCCGTAAGTTACCCGATTTCCCAACTCGTTGCACTGAGTCCCGGTGAATGCTGAAGAGCAGTTTGCGTCTCGATGGAATCATAACTCTGCACGCAAACCCCTGGGCAACTTGTAACAAATAGTCCCAGTAATCAACGAGCTATCACAAGGAACGCTTACCAAAAATATTCCAAAAGACGAACGCATCCAATTTTACCAAAAGCATAGTCACCTCATAAAGGTGGATGATCGTCCCACACTCAACGGATAAACCAACATGCCAAATGTGTTCCAACTCGATTGCACTCAAACAACTTCAAACAATCTATCTACATTGATTACGAAATGAAACATGCTGTCGGGGGTGGCTCATACTGTACCACTATAAATGAACCCGTGTGGGAATAAGAATGTCACCATAACTGTACCACTAACCAATCCTCGGTTAAGCGGTCTGAGCTCAATTACATTGTCAACGGGACCGATTCGTCATGCGCATGGTCATCAGTACGCTTTAACTAAAGGTGAGAAACACACTTCAACTACGGTGCCGTAACCTAACTACAAAAGCATGTAAAAGACATGATTCTACACATATTAAAATACGAAAGCAACATTAAGTACAATGGTAACCGGCATATTATGCTTCAAGCTAGATATGTGGTTCGGAAGTAGAACATGAGCGGAATGAGGTAGGACAACGAACTATTAACACAATCGTCATTGAGGTCGGCTCTTCGGCATGTCAACAGTGTATCCAAATGATTGCCCCAGGTGGTTGGGGGTACAGGCTGACAATACATATAAAGACTAGGGGGCACATCAAACACAGATTTGAAGTCTAGCGACTCAGTCAGCATTGCACTTACTCAAGTGGATCGCGGTTGCGTGCCGTTGGAGGTCACTCTTCAGTGCAAAAGATTTGTCGCAGTACTCACAGGTGTGGTGTCGCTGTTCTGGAACAAATGACAAGTCGTTAGCTGTTATACATAACACGAATGAGTGAAAAATGCTGCGGCGCCAAAAGCAAGACTTTAATGCAAATACAAACGTCTTTAGACACAATGACTGAATAATCGTTGGGAAGCCGGTAAAGGATATATTCCACAGTAGATGTTTGCCTCATCCTCATTCTCACATATAAAACACCGATTCATATGACGTTTTCCACCAATCTGCATGACAATGAGAACGTGAGTGGAAGTCAATTATTGTTTACGATTGGCTACACCGCAGTGTGCGCATATAAATATGCATAAACAGAAATGCTAGAGACCGCAGTTGAGTCAGTCTCATGGTTCAACTGCGAAATGTGGCCAACTATCAGATGATATATTCTAACCTCAAGGGTTGGTCTAAATTCGTGCCACACTCTATGGATAACACACCAAAAATACAGCGTTGCTCGCGGATCTGTGGCATAAGCCATCAACTGCTATGTCCCGCATTTCACTCCCAGCACAGACTTCGTCCATGGTTGAAACCTGGACAGTGCTGATTTACTACAAAATAAATGTTCCAATTTCAACGTGAGATCAAATATCAAAAGCGAGTGCTGAGTTAAGAATTCATATCGGCCAATCTAGCAATCCTTGATGGTTTTTCTGGTGAGAGCAAACATGCACGAAGACAATCGTGGAGTACATTCGTGAGGGCGGGCAGCACCAGAGACTCAGCAAGTATACATGCTGTACACGCACTATACACAGCGTTTAGCGAAGAAAGCTTTCCCGCTGACCGTGAGCGTCCAGCACCGCCAGAACGGAGCAGGAAACCATCGTAGTTACGTCGTACATAAGATGTAGTTAGCTCTTGAAACAATCAGCAATAATGGGCGAGCGCCTCAAAAAATTCCTCTCCGAATCACAAATCTAACTGTCTCCTTCTCGTTTCTAATTACTATTTCCTCCTGGATATCAAGACAAGATATCCACTTGGAACGAGGCAACAAATTGAATTCTAATCAGAAGTAAGCAAGTGCGCGAAGAATATTCTTTTCGATAATTCTCATCAGGCGAGTACAATTATGATTTCCAATCGGCGTTTACGGTTATCTACCGTAATGAAAACGCCAAGATGCGCAAGCTCGCGAAGGCTGTGGCAATTAATCACAGCCGTCCGGACCTATGTGTGCAAAAGCATTTGGAGAACACCCTCAAGCTTCCTTGGGGATAGCGGCAAGTGTCAAAAAAGTGGTCGTTCTGTTGGAGTTTATACCCCTTTTTTCCATTCCCATTCTGACACCATGTACATCATTGATTACCCCTTTCGTGATCGTCAAATATCGCTCGTTTGCATGTGATCAGAAAGTGCGAAATGATATCAGCTTGCAACACCCTTCTTCTCATTGTAGTATTTAGACCGATACAGGGAACCCAGTGAGTCAAATATCCCGCTTTTGGTGTCTTTCCAGTTCACGAGTCGTCGTTGGCTTCCAAAACCCTACCTTATGTCCATCAACATTTCGGAGTCCAAGACAAAATTCCTAAGGGGTGAACAGCGGGATGATCTAAACGAGCAGAATTTCCTTCGTGATAGAATCGGAGTTCAGTCAAAGCCGACTAATTCAATACGCATCATGAGACATCCAAACTACAGGGAATCGCTGCTGATCCGAGTGACTTTGGGATCCACAGATTACGTCGAGACGGTGTTTTGGTGGGCACACCGCCTGCGGACTGAAAACAATGGGATACACATAATTGAGCATGTTCCACAGAGCAAACGACAACGCGAGGAAAATGCTTTAAATGATTGACACATGAAGAGTAGCAGAAGAACCATATTGTGTCCACGGTGTGCACGAGCTGTAAGCATCTAACGACAACGAAGCCCATGTCCATAATCTGGAAGCATGACGGTAAATCCGTGAATCTCACTGTGCTGGTGATGTTACATTTCATTCGATTGCACGGTTGTCCTAGTCGCGTCACTACAAAGACAGTGGCCTGAGGATATTGAAATTACTTGTCCAGTCACAACAGATGGCGGTAAATATAATCCGCAGCTGAAAGATATACGTAACACACTTCGCACGGAACTACGATTGTACATAGCAGTTAGAGAACCGCGGCCACTCGCTGACCTCGTAGAAACAACACCACCCGCCACTCAACATAACCATAATGGCGATTAGAAAAAGTGTGAGCTCAGATTAGTAGCTATCGGAAAAGCTACTGATGGACAACCCGCGATATGTGCGAGAGTAGACAAACAAATGTATAGAATTTATATCGCGTTTAGGTACCGTATAGTACCGTGTATACACCGATCCGTATTTACGCCGAAAGTATGACTTGGCAAAGTCAAACGTATCTGATATCATAAGTCCATATATTAGCCGACCCCCAAAAAATCCGCAAAATGAGAAACGAAATTCTTTCTCACGATTTTGGCTTCCTCACCACCTGTTCTCATTTGAGAGTGCTCAAGCGAAAGCTACCCCACTATTAGTTAGTTCTGGCGATCTAATGTGTTATGATCGCAGTTGCTGGGGCTTAGAGTCGTCAGAACAAAGCTTTTAATCCCACTGGACAGTGTGTGATTAGATGGAAAGCCACACGAAACAGATAAGACAGCCGACAATATGGGGTAAGATGAAAGGGTATGTCAGACACCGCCTCGCATAGTCGGGGGCCTCATGCACCTGAATCGCAATGGAGTAGCGGGTGAGAGGGAAGTTCACGATCAGTGGTGTGGGACGACGTTGTACTTGTAATGTACCAGATTGCATAGCATATCGTACTGTATAAGCGCTGTGATTCGCTAACCAAAATAGCGCTAACCTGATGTCACACATTCCAGCTGAGAGGGAATGTGCCCACATTTCATGCGATCTTCCAAAACCGTGAAAACGTGAAAAAAGTGTCTGCACAGAAGTGATGTGCGTATGCTGCTGGCTTAAAATTGAAAGTTATCGCGTTTGCCGAGCAATCTAATAATTGGATGGCTGCACGCCATTTCACGGTGAAGGAAAAGTAAGGGAGAGATTGACGAAAGCAAAACAGAATTGTCACGAATACCCGCAGGCAAGAGAGCAGCACACGGTGGAACAACCATGTTTCCTACACTGGAAGAAAAGCTAGCGCAGTGGGTTATGGAGGCACGGCACAGCGGGTTAATTGTTACCCGAACAAACATGCAGATAAGAGCGCTCACGATGTTAAAAGGTCCGGAATTCCAGCTATCAAAACCGGTGAATATTGTTGCTTCCTCCGGATGGTGAAATCGTTTTATGAACCGATTCGACATGTGTCTACGGACCCACACAAAACTAGCCCAGAAACTGTCAAAGAAATTGGACGGTAAAATTGAATCTTTCCCATGTTTCGTGATTCAGCTGAGAAAGCAATACAACATTGAACCGTCCCAAATAGCAACTATGGACGACATGTCCGTATGCTTTGATATGCCTTCAAGTCGCACGGTGGAGCAGAAAGATACTAACACAGTTTTTGTACAGACGATAAAACACGAGAATACACATTTCACAGTTGTTTTAGGGTGTATGGCGGATGGTTCCCGTCCATCACCTTTCATTATTTTTCAGCGTAAGACTCCGCCTAGAGGAGCGAAGTTCCCCAGCGTCGTGTTTGTGCGGGCTCGCGCGAAAGGATGGATGGACGGGAGTTGCACTATAGACTGGCGGAATACAGTGCGTGGAAAGTGATGCAGTGCCCTTTTAAAGGAACCATCTACGTTGGTTTGGGATTCCTTAGGGCACACGGAAATGAGAAAGTGGAGAAACGATGTCGTGAACTATAGTCGTCCGTGGCTATACTTCCCCGTGAACTTAGATCACTCTAGCAGCCATTGAATGTCTGTCTCAATAAGCCCTGTAAATATAGGCTTCGGGTCAAGTGGATGGAATGGGTGGCATAGTCTGATTTAGCGTTGATGAAGGGTGGCAATGTAAAAAATGGTTGGCCTTGTTACGATTGCAGAGAACGTGCAAGAATTGGGGATGGATATTCTATCAGAAATTACCGAACCATCATTCACAAATTCTTGCATCAGCAATGTTATGAATGGAAAGGAGGACGATGCCCACTTTGATGTCATTTTTGGGAAAGCGAATCAAAATTATTCCAAAACACGAACGCATCCAGTTTTCCCATAGTCAGCTCATGAAGGTGGATGACCGTCCCACACTCAACGGATAAACCAACATGCCAAATGTGTCCCAACTCGATTGCACTCAAACAACTTCAAACAATCTATCTACATTGATTACGAAATGAAACATGCTGTCGGGGGTGGCTCATACTGTACCACTATAAATGAACCCGTGTGGGAATAAGAATGTCACCATAACTGTACCACTAACCAATCCTCGGTTAATCGGTCTGAGCTCAATTACATTGTCAACAGGACTGATTCGTCATACGTATCATCATCAGTACACTTTAACTAAAGGTGAGAAACACAATTTAATTATAGTGCCGTAGCACAACTATAAAGTTCGTGAAAAACGTGCTTCTGTGCACATTAGAATAAGAAAGCAACATTTACTACAATGCTAACTGACATATTATGCTTCAAACTAGATACGTTTCGGAAGTAGAACATGAGTGGAATGAGGTAGGACAACGAACTATTAACACAATCGTCATTGAGGTTGGCTCTTCGGCATGTCAACAGTGTATCAAAGTGATTGCCCCAGGTGGTTGGGGTACAGGCTAAGATCATACACATACACATCAAACACAGCGTTGAAGTCTAGCGACTCAGTCAGCATTGCACTTACTCAAGTGGATCGCGGTTACGTGCCGTTGGAGGTTACCCTTCCGTGCAAAAGATTTGTCGCAGTACTCACAGGTGTGGTCTCGCTGTTCTGGAACAAATGACAAGTCGTTAGCTGTTATACATAACACGAATGAATGAAAAATGTTGCGGCACCAAAAGCAAAACTTTAATGCACATGCAAACGTCTTTAGACACAGTGACTGAATAATCGTTGGGAAGTCAGCAAAGGATATACCCCACCGTATCTGTTTGCCTCATCCTCATTCTCACACATAAAACACCGCTTCATATGACGTTTTCCACCAATCTGCATGACAATGAGAACGTGAGTGGAAGTCAATTAATGTGTACGACTTGCCACGCCGCAATGTGCGCATATAAATCTGCATAAATGGGAATGCTGGAGACCGCAGTTGAGTCAGTCTCATGGTTCAACTGCGAATGTGGCCAACTATCAGTTGATATATTTTAACCTCGAGAGTTGGTCTAAATTCCTGCCACACTCTATGGATAACACACCAAAAATACAGTGTTGCTCGCGGATCTGTGGCATAAGCCATCAACTGCTATGTCCCGCATTTTACTCCCAGCACAACTACCTCGATGGTTGACTCACGGACAGTGCTGATCAATTTCAAAAAAGTGGTCCAATTTCAGCAGCCGTTCTGGTCTCAAAAACTAGTGCTGTTAAGATACCTTATCGGACAACAGTCCTCTCATTCCCGAAACACTTCTTTACAAGTATATTCACCGAATAATCACATTCTTGTGATTTGCGGTAACATAAGTACTGGGTGGCGGAGAGCACAGAATTGACCTGCGAGTTCGAGTTGGTGTTACGAGGAATACATTTGCGATGAGAACGCGAAAAAAATGAATCTAAATTTACCATATGGATTTGGGGTCATTCATACATCCGCAAAAGGAAAACTAGGATACGCCGAGGAAGCCGTATGAGAACATCATATTCTGGGTGCTTGGATATACGAGCATCAGTGGACACGGATGGAATTCATCATGAATAGGTGGAGACGGTGAGCTCGTTATACTATTATTCCGTAAAAGTTTACGTTCCCTCGGCATGCTGCTCAGGTCTTTTAGATAAATTTACAGGTCAAGTAACCATCATCCAAATTGGCAATCAAACACACGCTTTTACAATGATCCCAATAAAGACTGGTGAGAAATTGACGGTCAATTGTTTATTCGACGTTAACAGGCATAAGTTTACGCAAGGAATAGCGAAGGTCAGTTTTGTTGGTAGAGAAGCAGAGACATAGTAAAGGACTTTAAAGTAACTCAGCAATATTTTGAATACTGCTTGTGCTATACACAAAGATCTACTTTGAGAAAGAAACGGTGTCCTTTGTAAGATTCTTATATTGTACTGCAGTGCCGAATACCCACCAAAGTTCGCAGTTAGCGTTTAAGGGATCACTATCCCCGTCACCCATGTTCCTGTGGCATAGGTTTGTAGTTTAGATGTCAAGGTCTCGGATTCTAGTGAATCAGATGGATGAGTACGGCTCGCAAGCCACGATAGACAAAACGGTCGTCCACTGCTTCTCCGGGCGTGTCAAGAGAATGTAAGAGCCGGAGCTACTACGATGAATTCCCGATAACTTACCTCAAAATTCCTCTACTCAGAGGCATCCAGAATTATTAGGCCGTGCAGCGCGAGTTTAAAGCAGTACATAGATACAATACAGGAAGCCCTGATTCAGGCAGCCATATTTGCCCTCTGCAACATTATACTATTCACGAAGCAAAATCATTGAATATTTGCCACCATGGAATTCGGTCAACACCTCCCAGCAAAGATTTCTAAAAACGCGATCCTGTACAACCTACGATATGCATTTTAAAACCTTTTAATACATTCCAGTTACAGCGCCATCCGCTTGAGCATCACACTTTTTGTTATGTGTGGGCACCCGATAGGGTACAGTCCGACGAACTCGTATTAAATGCTTATTCCTTCTCACAGCTGCCACTAACATCTGATTGGCGTGAAGCAGGAAAAATACTAAACTATGCATCTATTGTGTGTACCTACCGTTAGTTATCTTTGAATAAGTGCTTATCTAATGACTACTAATAAAGTCGATAGACCAGTACATAGACCAGTCAACTTTCCCGGAGAAAAAGATTGTATGTGTATCCCACTCAGGTATTGTTCTATTGTTTGTGGTTGCATGTCCTAGTGCTGCAGGGACAGATCTGCTCATAGGCCTAGTGCGGTAACCGGGACAAATTAAGGTCGCGGTTGTGATTGCTACAATAGCATTTCATTTTCCACCTACGGAAACCTTCTGATGTCCTTAGTGTCATGACTACTGAGAACCACGGGTTTCAGTAGAAAAGAACTTTTTAGGAATTGCCTGAACCTAGTGTCGTCGACCACTAATTACGACGTGAGATAACAGTTGAAACTTCTCCGTCACCTGTTAGCTAATGAATCCAAGTGCTACTTTGATGCACTAGAACTACAAACCATGGACACTCTTACAAAGGCACTGGTTGTGGCTGATCCAGCATGGGGTACCTGAGTGAATGTCTACAGTGTCAATAACATGGTTTGAGAAAAGCATTCAGAACAATTTGTTTCCTGCCTGAGATGTTTGGCTGGCCGAACAACCTCCTCGTGGTGCCAGCTGGGTGGTTCGCGTTTACCCCCTTTCAGCAAATAGTTCGGCGGCAGTGTTCCAGGACGTGGTGGGTTTTTGCCTAGCAAGTGTTCTCCCTATAAAAAGCCACAAAAGTCCGTTTAACAACACTGTGACGTGGCGGTTGTGACTCGCCACTAACTAAAGTCACTCATTGCTTATCCGGACAATCAGTTCAAGTCCACAGATAGCAAGCATCCATTTAGCACTTGCTACACATTCAAACACATTCAAACAAAACGACAGGAAAAATTTACAAATCCCATAAACAAAGCTAAACACGCCTTCACGCAAACTTACATACATTCATATATAAACATATGCTACAATCCCATGGTTCCATTGTACATTAACTGAGCACAATTTGTACTCTTAACATGATCATGCCCGCGCAGGCGTGTCTTGTTCGGCCGAGAATACACAATTTATTTGTTTATTTATTTATTTATTCAAATCCGCTTTGCGTCCTCTTTTACTAATCGGAAAATGTTTTGAGGGATATCTGATGTTTCTTGCGAAATCTCTGCAAAACCTTCCAAATCACTATGTGCTCTGCTCTGTAGTGGATTTTGCCTTACCCATCTCAAGGTACACCAACCGAATTGCAATCATGCGACTCGGAATTACCAGCTCTATCCAATGACTACTTGGCCAGCTCCATACCATCGCAATCTACTACTCATTGCAGTGGCTGGAGCCCGATTTCCGAATACTACCTGTAAATCTGCTTTCCTGCTATCGGAGCGTACCTCCCCCCCCACAACCGATTACCAACGACAACGATCGATACGAGCAAGTATTTTGTCACCCCAACTCTAGTGAATCACACTCGACCTCGATCGCGTGCCACAACGTGTGTGTGTGTGTGAACCAGATTAGCTTCAGATGGTCATCTACTATCTGCCAAGTACCGTAGTTCGGAGACTCGTGGACACAGACAAACAAACTAGACCAACGAACATGCTGCGTAGTCGAAAGGTGATAAAGAAACCCAAACAACTGACCCAGCAACGAAACAGCCCGGGATTTGAACAGGTTAGTTTGCGCAGCTCGTATTATTACAAACTGTCATATTTTTTCCTCCTCCCCTGTGGCTGTTTTCCTACACATTCCTAACATTTAGTAGCTGTACGTTCAACACTTTAACATCCCTCCGAGGATCCATTAAAAGTGCATATTAGCAATGTGAAAACGAGAAGCTCCCTACTTAAGCTGAAGGTGAAACCAAAAAAGACTATCAAATCCACTGATGCCGCTGTTATACATCCACCCGCCCTTGCTGTAAAAAGGAGACGTCCATCATCTAAACTTCGAAAATATCTGACGTAGCTATGAACCACTACAAGCTTATTAACACTATCCCGCCTGAAACGACAAGTCGGCTTATAGCCCTTGAGGAAGAAGTGGGCATACTGCAAAGCAAAATTCATGAATTCAACATTGTTTTATATTCTGTCAGCATTCTTGACGGCTAGTCTAAACAGACTCGTGCACACAACCCCAGACACACACACAGCGTCTAATTCTCTGCTTCTCTATTGGTTCATCCTTCTCTTACGACACCTTAATGTAATCACCCAGATAGACATTGACCAGATTACAGCAGTAAAAAGACGAAGACTGGCAAATGCACGCATTTCGTATTGTCTCAGTGCATTTAACAATAACTCGCAATAACTCGAACTGAAGTTGATTACCAACACACTCATCGAGAACGGCTACCCCCGAAGGTTCATCGAGAAACATAGTCAAGTACGACCAAGGGACCTAGTTCACACGGTACCTAAGAAGCCTGTATTCATTGAACTGCCATTCAAAGGTGACGTCTCCTCGTTGAGGACCACAAGGCGTCTGATCTGTGCCATGCAGACAACTTACTATGCCGCAAAGGTCGTTGTCATTAACAAAACCCAAAAACTGCCACTTCCTTCTGTAAAGGAGGCTCAGTCTATCGGGGCCAAATCGCATTGCGTTTACCAATTCATTTGTGACTGCGGCGCCAGTTACATAGGCAGGACCGATAGAACATTGAGTTCCCGAATGAAGGAGCATATACCTAAGTGGGTTCAACATTCGACCGCACAGGAAACTGGCCAGAGTCAAGCTGCTTGTCTGCGTAAGCCACCAGCCTCTTCGATCGGCCGACACCTATTGACCACAGGTCACCGAGTCAAGGTCAATTCGGCGTTCACAATCCTATTACAACACACCAATTCTCGCCTCCTCCGTTTCGTAGAGGCGATTGCAATTAACCGGATTAAGCCGATGCTTTGTGTTCAGAAACAATTATCGGTCAGCATTAGACTGCTCTGGGGATAGGGGTAATAACCCTGTCTCACTTATCACGTGTTGGTCTATTTGTCTGTTTGTATGTATGTTTGGTCGCACCCTTCACTGAATAAATATTAATGCGAGTTATTGT